CTCCGACACTGATAACTCAGAGCTCCGACACTGATAACTCAGTTCTGACATGGATAACTCAGAGTTCCAACATTGATAACTCAGAGCTCTAACACTGATAACTCAGAGCTCCGACATTGATAACTCAGAGCTCCGACATTGATAACTCAGAGCTCCGACATTGATAACTCAGAGCTCCGACATGGATAACTGATATACATTGCTATGTTTTTGTGGATGTGTCCCCACTGTGCACAGACACACCTGTGACACAGGTGACACAGCAATGAAGGGGAAGGCTGGACTGTGGCACATTTTGTGCCTTCAGCGTTACTGAACAGCAAAAGGAAACAGAGAAGAGTGAGAATCCAGCTGCACACTGACATTAGTACAGGAGAAAATACTGAGAATTGTGACACATACAGAGTACAGAGCAATGAAGTGCAGTGTCACATCTCAACTGACATCACTGTGAGGCCACAGGGCAGAGAATGCACCAACAACACCCAAAGTGTCTGAGAGATCTGTCCACCCATCACATCCTCACACAGACACTTCCTCTGAGGGAAAATGTCCAACAGGGAAGAGAAGGAGGCTTGTGGAGCATAATAAATCATGTGCTAAAAAGATCCACTGTTCTGTGGAATTTTAACTTCCATATGAACTATTTTTAATAACTTGCTTCATAATTTTGAGTTAAAACCCTTCTCCTGTACCTTGTTCACTCGTTCCCTGTGCATCTGAGGTGCTCTGACTACAGATCCCAAAATGGCCCCATTTCTCTGCCTGGATGGATGTCTAGATAGTGAGCGACCTCTGTATTAATCACAATTTTGTTTTCTGCTTCTGTTTTTCACCTTTAGCTTATGACTCTAAATGGAGTAAAGGTGAGATGACAAACCAGCACACCTGAGGAGAACAATGCAGCTGCTGTTGTTGTTTCATTTGTCCAAACACAAATACACACACACAGATGAAAAGAGTGCGTGTTAGACAGCAAAACTATCTATAAAACAAATGTTAAAGATGACTTTTAAATATCTTTTCTTACCATCAGCTTTGCTTCCCTCTTCCATCARAAGCTTTGTGATGTTGAGGAAGCCTTTGGCAGCAGCCAAATGGAGAGGTCTGTCCCCAACTTCACCACTCGCGTTCACATCGGCTCCAAACTTCAGTAACAGATGGGTCACCTAATTATTTAATTAGTATTAATTAAAATACCACATGAAAATAAAACTTTGAGAAAASCAGATACAATATTGCATTGGGTAATACTGTATGTGAGCATCTCTGTATAGTTAAAACCAGGAGAAGAGATTCAACAGRAAATGAATTTTTAAGTTACACGTCYATAAAAATACTAAAATTCTCAAAARCAAGCACATGTTCATTSTCAGAAATGCTCTCCATGGTGGATGGACAGCAGGCACGTTTGTTTGAATGACCAATCAGGATAATAAAACAAACACCCTCCAGGTCCCCACAAGCCCGAGCTGTTCCCTGAGCAATCTGAACCCAGAGCCCCAGGGAGCTTTCACCTCATCTCACAGACTGGGACTGCTCTGAAATGCCTCTGGGAAATGAGGAGAGCAATCTCTCAGCCCACAGGGGCAGTTTCTCCTGGGTGATTGTGCACAGTTGAAAGCAGCACTGGGGACACATCCCCGGCTCACTCAGCTCTGCTCTGGCCCCACTGCAGCTCAGAGCATTCTGTGTTCAAAACCTTTCCTTAGACAGTTCCTGAGTGTGTGCCACTGCAAGGGAAAGGGAATCACCCAGAGATCATCCTTTGCAGCTCAGAACACCCACAACTCGAGGCTTTTAACCATTGGAGAGACAGGGGATGCTTGCATGGAATGAGCCAAACTGGCYCATTGTCACAGCTCACATAAACCCAGCTCAGGGCTAAGGACTGGGCTCTGGATTAGCCACATGTCCATTGAACTGTCCAAATATACAGGACAAAGAGAGTCCAGGGGTCAGTGCAGCTTTGCCACAGCTCCAGACTGTGTTTCAGTCAGTCCATGCTCTGTGTGATGGAGGGAGCTCAGCTAAACTCATCCTGTGCACATCTCAGGGAAAATCCTGCTCTGAATGATCATTTTTCCCACTAATGGAAAAGTTTGGGGATTCCAAGGAAAGCCAACAGAATTGCTATTAAATTATTACTGGAAATGACATTCACTTCTGCAGAGGGTTCAGAAAGCACATTCACATTCCCCATGCAATGTCTGACACAGGATGAATGAAGAGCAGATGAAAAATGCCTCTGGGCCCAAAGCAGCTCATCAAAGGCTGCTAAAGAACCTTTGTTTGACAGAATCACAGCAGCTCTAGGGTTGGAAGAGACCTGAGAGATCTCTGAGTCCAGCCTATGGAGGGGTCAAGAGGTCTCAAAGGAAAACATCATTCTCTGGGGTCTAGTACAGAGGATAGAAATATAGAAATTTCCTGTTGATATTCACTCAGGGCAGCCAGAAATGTGTACAGAGTGTAAATAAATTCAGTGTATCAGGCCTCTGTATGGAAGGATGCTCTGGAATGTAAAGCAGAACCACCCAACACTAAACCTCCAGTGCCTGGATTCCCTCCCAGGGTCAGAACTGCCCTTGGTTACCTGCTCGTGGCCATAATAGGCAGCAATGTGCAGAGGGGTGAAGAACACTGCATCCTGCACGTTCACAAAGGCCCCGTGCTGCAGGAGAATGTCCACAGCCTGCAAGGGAACAGCAGCACCTTACAGGTACAAACATTATACATATAAACATAAAATATGTGCTCAGTGGGTAAAACAGGACTTTGAAACCTCCACTTTGAATSCCTCCAGTTTAAAAAAAGCCAAACAGCCCCCAACAAACAAATGATAAAGGTGCAGAGCTGTGT